AAAATATTCAACAAGCTGTAGACTTTTCTTATTATCGGGGTGAACATGGCTCAAGAGTTGGCAGTTTGTCTTGTAATCCAGTTCGAGCCCCGGCTTTTATATTATATGGATCTGTTTCCCGGTACTGGGTCCCGGTCATTCAGTAACATTAGTAAATGTTTTTATTTACAAAATGTTTTGCTATGGAGCTCTTGGTAAATGGCCTCATCAATCCTGTTTAATTTATTCTTCATCTATATGCAGGTCTTTGATCCTGACGTCAGACAACATGTTGTCAAAGAGTAAGTTGTGGTGTGGAACAGGTGGTTTGTAGTGGGACTTTTCTGCAGCATGTGAGAGCACAGCATGAATAAGTGCTCGCACACTCCTTTTCATCAGCCTCAAAAGAATTGCCACTAACAGCAGATGGTAATTTTTTTCCCCCAGTATTTGAAATATATTAGCTCAAACTCTTGTAAAAGTGTTTTGGAAATATTTTTAGTATCTGGTAGTTGGTCTCCATCATCTTCAGTTGTTCCACACCATGTGAATAACCTTGTTAGTAGGTTTCGCTTCTTTCGGAAGAGGTGATCTTTGAATATAGGAATGACCACTTCTTGTTGCGGCTGAGCTACGGCTAGTGCAATGATCACAAGATTAGGTAGAATATCAGCAGCTTTCTAATGCCTTTAAAAGATGCTGCAGTAGCTGGAGTTTGTAAGGGTGCCATTTGTGAGTAGCTAATATCTGCCGAAGGGATGTTCGACTAATGCCACTCTCCAGTGACATGCGGCGAGTGCTACGCTGTGGGCTCTTGCTGAATGAAGCTAGGACAGCCACTGATGTTTCTTCATTAGTAACAGTTTTATTGCGTCCACATTTTGGCAAATCCAACACTGAACCAGTTTCACGAAACTTAGCAAGCAGTTTGCTGACTGTAGCATGGGAGATGGGTGGTCTTGTAGTAGGGGTGGGTTTTGATAATCGATTTATCAATTACAATCGATTCTGGCTTGGATAACGTGATATTGATTCATTAAAATCCTGAATCGATTTTTTAATATAAATTTGTTTTGCCTTAAAAACTAGAATCTCAGGTGAAACCTCAGAAAATTTTGACAACGACCAAACAGCTAAAACAGTAAATGAGAGCAGGTACACGGATTCTGCTCAAAGGAGTAAACACACAGCGTGGACCCGCGGATCAGAATCAGTGAGATGTCGCCTATCTCACCCAAAAGCACGGACACGGTCGGGGCTGAAAGCCGACAGCTCACTGATTCTGATGTTTCGGCGGGTGCGTGTTTAAAGCTGTTAGTTTTATCTTTCTCCAAACAACATTGATCGAACCAGCAGCAAAAGAAGATCCAAACTATGCTTCACGTAAACATCGTCATGAATTCCCTCTGACTTTTGCTGTTTTGCTTCCACCACAATAAAATCACACTTCATGCACAGCTCACTCTCTCTTTCTCAGTGTACTTCAAGAACAGTTTCCCGTCTAAAAATCTGTTTTCTGCATTATTCGCTTGCTTGTTACGCACAAGTGATGTGCGATACCACTGATTTCCTTTCCGATCCGATACCAAGTAATATTCAGGGTGGCATCGACGATACTGATCCAATACGATACTTTGTACAAAAACGTATGTTATTTATTGTATCTCAAATTATAGCGTCATAATGATTACAGGACATCAGATTACTTGTTCTTATCACTTAATAATGCAGAGTTCATCATATAGAAATAAAAAA